TACAAAGTGAACAGGGTTTAGGTAAACCCCCAAATGATGGTGCTGTAGGTCACAATGAGCCTCAGTATGGAGCATATACCACCCACAGCCAGCCAACCCATGGGGTCCTGCAGGGAGAGCACGTCCTGTGACTGAACTCCTCTCCCTCCCTCAATCTGCTGCTAGTGACCCCTGTTTTACATAATCCGGCCAGAGCCAGATTAGAGCAAGAGAGCAAGGAAGCCTAGAGTTAGAGCCCCTTCAGGAGTCACAGGACATTGAGTAAGATGAAGAAGTGTTGAGTCTGGATCTGGAGGAACAAAAAGATATCAGCACAGGCCACTGTCTCAGTCAGCTTGAGCTGCTATAACAAAAATACCATAAACTAGGTGGCTTAAATAGCAAACATTTATTTCTCATAGTTCTGGAGGCTGAGAAGTCCAAGATCAAGGTGCCAACAGGTTTGGTGTCTGGTGAGAGCCTGCTTCCTGGAGGGTGGACAGCAGCCTCTGAGTTGTGTCCTTATATGACCAAGAGAGAGAGCTCCTGTCTCTTTCTCCTATCAGACTCATCCCATTATGGGGGCTCCATCCTCATGATTTCACACTATTCTAGCCCCTGGCCTTTTTTGTTGTTGTTGTTCATCTCTGGACTGCCTACTTCTCACTTGTTGTGTCCCTTTAAGACGCCCACAACTCTTAGTCCCATTATGAAAGTACCTTCATTTAAACTTTCTGAGTGGAATTCTATTTCCTTCTGGGCCCCTTCATAGTTGATACACTCAGGGTCATCTTCCTAAACACCTGAGCCCGAAGCTCCAGAGCCATCAGTGTCCTTGACTCTGCCTCAGAAAGTCATGGCAGGGCCAGGCCGAAGGCGGGCAGTGGGCTAATGCTGAACAGGAAGACTAGGCCCACCCTTCTCAGCAGACAAGACCGATGGAGAGTCGAAGATGGGTCAGTTCCCTTATGGAAATACAAGCTCCAGGCCCTGCCTGGCACTCCTGGCGAGAATGGAATCAGTGAAGTCTCTGTAGCCTTGTGCTCAAATGCTGCAGGCAGCCTGGAACAGGAAGAATTGGGGCACAGCTGAAATCCAAACGGGAAAGCAAACAGCTAAGATCCATGGGGAACAATGTCTGTTTCTTAATCCGTCTCCTGCCCCAAATAGGTCCGCTCTCCTCCCCCAACTTGTGTTGACGTGTCTGTTTCTTTCCCTGGCAGCGGTGCCACCAGGCCTTCAACTAGGTCAGGGGCAGTCATGAGCCCACACAGGCCCTCAGGCCACGTCCTCCCCTCACCCCACTCCCCAGGCTCCCAGGCCTGGAGTCACAAAGCCTAGACCCCAAGTGACCTCTTGCTGCTCAGGGCATCCTGGCCAGGTCCCTCCTCCCTAGAACCACAGGGAGCGAGTGGGGGGGTCCTGTGAGGTGGCAGGGGCCGTGAGCTGGAGGCAGAGGGCACCTCTGGGTGGTGCTGCAGCCCTCCCTGCCGTTCTGCAGGTGCCCCTTCAACCCCTCCCTGCAGCCCTGCTGAGTGCCGTCGGAGACCCCCATTCTTCCAGGGCAGCCAGGGAGCCATGCATCCCTGCTGTTTCCAAGTGCACAAAGCACAAAGGCAATTTTAAAAGTTTAGGTTTTGATATATAATAAGTATTTATTTAGTAATTCGCCTTTTTAAGGTGTACTGTTCCATGAATTCTGACAAATATACAAATGTCTGTATAACCACCACCACAATCCAGACATAGAACCTTCTCACCTAAAAATGTTGCCCTGAGTCCCTGGGAACCATCCCCTTCCACCAACCCCAGGCTCTGGCAGTAACTGGTTCATTCTCTGTGCCTGTCGTTTTGTGTTTTCCAGAATATTGTCTAAATGGCATCATACACAATGTCATGTCTGGCTTCTTCAACTTAACCTCTCCTCCTCCTTCTCCTTCTCCTTCTCCTTCTCCTTCTCCTTCTCCTTCTCCTTCTCCTTCTTCTTCTCCTTCTTCTTCTCCTTCTCCTTCTCCTTCTCCTTCTCCTTCTCCTTCTCCTTCTCCTTCTCCTTCTCCTTCTCCTTCTCCTTCTCCTTCTCCTTCTCCTTCTCCTTCTCCTTCTCCTTCCCCTTCTCCTTCTCCTTCTCTTCCTTTTCCTCCTCTTCCTGTCCTTCTACTCCTTCTTGCTGAATACTATTGCTGTTGTCTGATGCACCACTGTTTATCCATTCACTTGATGTTGTACATGTAGGTTGTCACCAGATTTTAGCAATTATAAGTCAAGTTACTGCAAACATTGTGTACAGGTTTCCATGTGGACATACATCTTCGCACAACTGTATTTTGATACAATGTGAATTCATCTACTGATATGCTGGAAGGTTTAGAGATTCTTTGGGGTCTGAATGAAGATAATTGGTATGTTGCATCTCCCATTCTGAACCCTGGGCTGGCCATGGAAGCTATGTGGTTAAGTTGGGCAGGACTGTGGGTGATACTGGCCTCATTCTACCACACGTGAACACATGCCCTCCAGTGCCCTATGTTTGCAAACTTAGTAGAACTGCAATGCAACATTTTGCTCTACTGAGCTCAAATTCGCGATGTTTTCCAAAGAACAAAGGTCAGGAGGCCTTCTCTCTGGCAGAGCAAAGATATGAATTAGCTTGATTACTTTTAATGCTTTGCTTATATCCAATAACATAAACTAACTTCCTAATTTTAAATCTGCCTTCACTTATTCTGATGGAATACTTCCAAGAATTTTTAGGATAAATTTTAAAGCCTCAAAATAGCTGGAGGAAGAACAAGTCCCATAGTCATTTCCCCTAAAATTGAAATCCATTATGTATGAAATTTTAGAAAACAATTGCACCTACAACTCCCAACAATATAATTTTTAGTAATAATAACTGTTCTCCACACACCTGTCATATCCATGGTGATTTCTTAGGAGAATTATTCAGTGGCTACATAGAAGGGAGGATTGTTTATTCAGATTCAAGCTTTATTCCATAAATTAGCCTCTGTCCACCACTCAACCTCCTACAATATTCCAACTCCGTATTTTAGTTTGAAGTATTTGATTTTGCCAACATTCGACTAAAACAGCAATTCTATATGGTTTAACTTAAATGCGTCTACAGTTGCCATACACCTCAGTACCTTTGCACATGGTTTCTGCCCATCCAGAATGCCATGTCAGTGTCCTCAGGCTGTCATAACAAAGTACCACAAACTGGGTGATTTAGAACAACAGGAGTTTATTGTCTGTAGTTTTGGATGCCATAAGTCCAAAGTCAAGGTGTCAGCAGGGTCCTGCTTCCTCTGAAGGTGTAGGGCTACATCAGTTCCAGGGCTCTCTCCAGCTTCTGGCAGTTCCTCGGCATGTGGCAGCATAACCCCAATATTTACATGGCATTTTCCCTGTGTGGGTATGGGTGTGCATCCAAAATTTCCCTTCATATAAAGGCTCAGTCAGCCCTCGCTGGTTTGGCTCAGTGGATAGAGCATCGGCCTGTCAACCAAAGGATCCTGGGTTTGGTTCTGGTCAAGGGCAGGGACCTTGGTTGGAGGCTCCTCCCTGGCCCGGGCCCTGGTCAGGGCTCGTGCAGGAGGCAACCAATCGATGTGTTCCTCTCACATCGATATTTCTCTGTCTTTCCCTCTCTCTTCCACTCTCCCTAAAAATCATTGAAAATATATCCTTGGGCGAGGATTAACAGAAATTAATTAATTAATTAATTAATTAATTAATTAATTAATTAAAAAAATAAATAGGCATCAGTCATATTGGTTTAGGTGCCAATCCTGCTCCAGTATGACCTCATCTTAACTAATTACACCTGCTACAATCCTATTTCCAAAGAAGGTCACTTTCTGAGTTCTAGGGATTAGGGCTTCAACAGATGGACTTAGGGAGGGCACCACCCATAAAAGTCTCTGTCCTTACCCAATGCCATTTCTCTGTAGATTGATGCAGCCAAGACTGAGCTTATTTCCTCTATAGAATCTTCTCTAAAGGCCTCTCTCTCCCCCTGACCTCACTTACCACACACCCATGCTCCTTCCAGACTGGGTTGGGTGTCCCTCCACAACTCCCAATGATACTAATACCCTTCCCCCATTGCACTAAGGTGGTATCTTTGCTCAGGTCTCTCCATGATGAGTGAGAGTTTCTAGGAGACAGAGAACAAATACCGTTCATCTTTGCACCATCCCCCAAGCCTGGATATAGACAGAGCTCCAAAAAGTGCTAACTAACCTAGTGGACAAACAAATGAATGAAATGCATCAAGGAAAAGCACCCTGCAGCTGATATCTGAATGGATCTGTACTTTATGCATGTCTTATTCATAGAAATGCTGGTCAACGTGCTTTCTTTTGCTGGAAAACATTAATAGAGATGCAATTAATAGAGAGAGACACTAGGAGAGATTAAATTAATAGCGATTTAAAATCACAGACTTGGTGTTTGCCATATGCTAGGATACATAATTAGTTCATTCATCCTCCCAACAATATAATGATGTATTGTTATCATGCCCATTTTACAGATGAGTAATCTGAGGCTCAGAGCTCAGTAGCTTCCCTAAGGACCACTGGCGATGTGAGCTCTGCTCTGTAGGAGTCTGAGTCTGTGCTCACTCTGCTGTATCTGATCTGACCTGTTTGGACCAGCAGCCTCAGATCCTTTCTCCTGGGGATGTCTTCAGCAATTTTATCCTGACACATTAGTGAATCTGAGATGCCCTGACTGGTATGGAGTTCTCCCACTCTGCTCCCTCTAACCCCCCAGTTCCACACTGACATCCATATCTCAGAGGACTGGCTCATGGAAACCATGAAGCTCTGGGTCCAGGGCACCAGCTGGTTGCTTTGACTGGACCGTGCCAGCTCCACCCAGTGCCCTATTGTGACCTCGGAGGTTAAGCTGGACTGAGAGAAACCAAGCACAGAGGGCAAAGCCACAACTGGGTCTGCCTGAATTGACTATGTACCATCTCAGCAGAAGTCTCTCCATTGGCTTGAGTAGAGACCATGGCCAAGGACAGGGTGGAGGATGGAAGAGTGGTGTTTCTGCTGTCCATCGCCCTGTTGCTGCCCTGGGCACATAGCTCCCTGGCATGTAGGTCTCTCGTGGTGTTCTTATGTCTGTGCCTCACAGCACAGAGGAGCTGTGTTCAAAAGGTCAAGTTCTAGGATGCTGATTCTCTGGTTCTGGGTGGGAGCTGGGGAACTGCATGTTCAATAAGCCCCTCAGCTGAATGTGATGGAGGGGTGCCTAGATCAGACTTTCAGATCATTGCTCCCACACTACCCTAAACTGTAAAGTTATATGTGGAGGAGCCGTGTGTGTGTGTGTGTGTGTGTGTGTGTGTGTGTGTGTGTGTGTGTGTGTTTAATACCTGTGTTAAGTACTAGAGTGTTCCAGAGTGAATGGAAAATGTAAGCAAACCCCCTGAGAGAAGGCACCAGCTGTCAAGTTGAAGGTGCCACCTGGCCACGTCCTGCAGCTTTAAGGCCAAGGATAAGCCTAGGAAGGTTTTCCCTGCTGCTTTCTCCTTGATTACCTTCTGAAGGCTCATGTGGAGCCTAACTGGTCTAATGCAAAACCATGACATATAAATACTAGAGGCCCAGTGCATGAAATTCATGCCGGCTGCCAGCCCGGGCCTTCCTTCCTGTGGTTGGCCAGCTGGCCCCGCCCCTGATCAAACTCCTGGTTGATGGGACAATTTGCATATTAGGCTTTTAGCATATAAGATAATGAAGGCTGTGTATTAATGCCTATGATGGCTTCATCTCTCTGGATCCTGAGAATTTATGGAGCTTGCGTTATGTTCAATGTGTTGGCTGACAAATATCAAACCTCTACCACATGCTGGGAGCTGTTTTAGGAGCTGGGTTTATACCAGAGAATGGCATATACATTCTCTACCCTTAAGCAATGTTACTATCTAGTGAGGGGAAGGAAGTATTAAATGGATAAATGACCCATAAACAAATTGATCTCATCTCCTGTTAAGTGGTCTGAGGCAGACAAAATTGGCTAATGTGATGGAAGGTCTGCAGGTGGTTGGTGAGACTGCTGTAGTAGGTAGTCACAGAAAGCCTTCCTACCATGACCAGACACGCGTTGAGACCCATCTGATAAGGACATGTATTTCCAAGCAGAAGTGGCAGCAAGTGCAAAGTCCCCTGAATGATGTTCGGTATGTTTCAGAGGCAGACAGGTCAGTGCAGCTGGGGCAGAGGGAGTGGGAAGTGGGAACAGGAGAAAGGTAGGCCCAGAGAGGTCAGGAGGGCCCGGATCATGCTGATCCCCATAGAGGCTCAGTAAGGACTTTGGCTGTTATTCTGGATTCAATGAGAAGCCATAAGAGAGTGTAAATGGGAGAGGGAGAAATCAGAGGTCTTTAGAAAGGTGCTCTGTCTGGTACAGAGGACAGACCGTGCAGGGACAAGAATGGAAGACGGGAGGTGAGGTAGTGATGTGGGGATGTGTGATACGGGGATGTCTCATATGCGGATGTATAGTGTGGGGATGTGTGATGTAGGGCTGTGTGGTGTGGGAATGTGTGGTATGGGATGTGTGATGTAGGGCTGTGTGGTGTGGGAATGTGTGGTATGGGGATGTGTGATGTAGGGCTGTGTGGTGTGTGGATGTGTGGTGGTAGTTGTGTGGATATGGTGATGGTTGGTGATACTAACATGTGGGTGTTGATTTGAATAGATATACCTTTCATATTATACTTCTCTGTTAAAAAATTCTTTCTCCCTGAGAGTAAACATGTTTAACACTTAGAAGGCAGTTTGCCCCATGGTTATGAGAACAGATTCTGGAGTCAGACTGCCCAATTTGAAATTTTAGCTCAGTCATATGCTAGCTGCTGGGTCTTAGCCAGATATCCCAATCTTAAACTTGCCTCTGTGGCCTCACCTTTTAAACGGGCAATAGTAATTTCAGTTACCTCATGGGGTTTACACGATCCTTTAATTGTTGTAGAGAGAACAGAATGGTGCCTGGCAACTACCAAGTGTTCAATAGTTTCGATTTTATGATGTTTATTTTTCTCATGAATCAAATGACATTTCAAAGACATTGAAAGAAGTCAAAGTAATCTTATTACATAGGAAATGCCAAATTTTTATTCCTCTCAAGGTGCCACTGGGATGATCTCTAGAATTAAAATTAGGTGAAAGATGGCACCACTAACCAGTCAGAAACTGGAAGAGGAACCAGTGGGGAAGGAAGGAGCTGGTCAGTTTCCCTCGGCTGTAAGATTTCTGGTGTCTGTGTGGTCCATGTGAGAGGCCCTTGAAGATATCTGTCCAGAGCTGAGGAGAATGTTCTATACCAAGGCCCTGTTTTCAGAGGACAATGAGGCCTGATTTCATATAAATGAATATGCTCACTTGGGTTCCCCCTCTTCGGGGGCAACAACAAGATCCAGGCCCAAGGCTTGTGGTTGTGTCTCCTCCCCAAAGGCCCTCAGTGAGAGACCCATCTAAGAAGCTAAGCTATGGCGAAGGCAACAACCATTGCTCTCCACAGGCACATCCTTACAACTGTGGCACCATTGACAGCCTGGGGGCACACTGTCTGATGGGTTTCCCATCTGAGGTGACCCTGGCTAAGCCATGGCTATCTTTGTGCTAGGATGGGGAGGGGCTAGGAGAAGGGGCATTGTCTTCAAGTCTCTTCCAATCCAACCAACCATGACTATTGGGCTCTGACCCTCTTTCTTCTTTCTGCTTTTAGTGACATGTGGTCAAACAATACACACCCAAACTGAAAAACCAAAAGTTTCAAAAATCATAGGCGGGGAGCCTGCAGCCATCACAGAGTTCCCGTGGCAGGTGAATATTTTTGACCAAGGGAGACATCTCTGTGGAGGATCGATTCTCAATGAGTGGTGGATTCTGTCTGCGTCCCATTGCTTTATAAACAAAAATATGTAAGTACTGCAAACAGACTTCTCTTTAAACCAGTGTGGTCGAATATTTGCTCCTTTCTGCTCATTATGCTCCTGGAGCCTCCATTAGGTTTGTCATAGAAGTTATCAGGAGGTTAAATATATGCCCTTGTGGTTAAACATCACCCTTTGCAGGTGGGAGAGACACTGCTCTCTTTCTAGGAGCTTTTACCGTTTGCTGTGTAGGACCAAAATGGCAGAACAAATGTTCCTTGCGCTTCTCAGAATCTTGCTTTCCTAAGCATTTGCTCCAGGCCTGGCTCCATAGCAGCAGCTCCTGAGGTGCTTGCTGTCTTAGCCTACATCTTCCAATCAGTATTGTTGAGAAACTTCCCAGGTGTTTGTTGGAGCTAGTCCAGCCCTTCTTGCAAATCCAGGGACAATTCCCTCTATTACTTGTGCATAGCATGGCTTCCCAGACATTTGTTGATGAAATTTACAAGTAAATTTGCCCAAACAAGAGACCATCAGGCCAAGAGTTGTTGCCAACAGGGTGGACCTGGAACTTGTGTCTGTCTCCTCCTGCCCAGTAGAGAGGGGCTCTTCACCGTAGCCCCAGATGCACCATCTCCCCAGCTCTCATTATCAGAGCCTCAGACTGTTGAAACTTTTTTCTCATAAGATTCACCTTTTGCTCTTCCATCACTTACCTTTTTTTCCTTTTGTTTTGAAATAAGATCTACCTTGGAGATCATACACGAAAACAGAAATGATATCACCATGAACTTGACAAGGATAAAAGTGGACAAGCTAATTACTCACCCCCATTTTGACAGCTGGATCTTGGATAATGACATCGCTTTACTCTTGCTCCAATCCCCATTTAACTTGAGTGTCACCAAAGTTCCCATCTGCCTTTCAGAAGTCACTGACATACATAGATGGAGAAACTGCTGGGTGTCTGGATGGGGCCTTACTAGTGAGTTACCGTAGCTTAGCCCACCGGAGGGTAGCACCCTGGCTGATGTTTGCAAGGAGAATAAAAAATCTGGAGACTTTGTTGGCCCTGAAAAGGCTGCCTGGTTGATTAGGAGCCTTTAAGGTTCTATGATGAACTTTCTCCTCAGTTCATATGGGAGCTGTCCTTCCTGTGCCTTCCTGGCCTCCTGGAGCAAGTTTTATGCCCAGATTGTGGAACATGAACCTTGAATAGGGCCTCAGGGATGACCCAGGCAGAGGTTTTCAGAGTCAGAGGGATGACTTGGAGAAATGTAGAGGGACATATAGATGGGCAAAGGGGTGGCAAAATGGACTGTGCTCAAGGAAATCCATACCCATGTCATCCTGTGCAGTTCTGTTCCAACTGATGGTGTCAATTCTGTGCCCTTGGGATAAGGGGCTCTGTGACTAAAACATTTGAAAATCACATATCAAGGAGAAAGGCATAAACTGAATGTGAACTCGTCTTTATAGAGTCAACCTGCAAACTACTCCCACCACTTTTCCCAGCCACACAAGATGGTGACCTTCGTCCTTCATCTTGATACATGTGTCTTGCCCCATAATCAACAGAGCAGAAAAAAATGAATTCCAGTCAGTGTTCCTCTTCCCAGCGGTCTCCCAATGGCTGTATGTGGATTCCCACATGGTCCCAAAGCTCAGTGCTACATTAGATTTCCTAAGAATTGCCCTTAGAAATTTATTATGAGCTTCAAAGAGGGCCACTTTCTTAACGTAGAACTCCTCATGCTTCATCCAGCACATCTTCACTGATCCTCTTCTATGATCCAGGGAATGTTCTAGATTCTAGGGCAGGGGTCCTCAAACTTTTTAAACAGGGGGCCAGTTCACTGTCCCTCAGACCGTTGGAGGGCCAGACTATAGTTAAAAAAAAAAACAACTATGAACAAATTCCTATGCACACTGCACATATCTTATTTTGAAGTAAAAAAACAAAACGGAACAAATACAATATTTGTATTTGCATGTGGCCCGCGGGCCGTAGTTTGAGGACCCCTGTTCTAGGGATTCAGCAATACTGTACAAAGACAAAACTATCCTCATCTCTGGGGAGTGAATATTCTAGGTGTTGGGCTCAGCTCCTCGTGAGGCCTGACACAATTCAAGCCCACCATTATGTGTTGTGAGCCCCAGGACAGAACTTGTAACTGTGGAATCTCTTTACATCCTTGTGGATATAAAAGAAACGTATTTTTAGCCTCTAGTTCAGTGGTTCTCAACCTTCCTAATGCTGCAACCCTTTAATACAGTTCCTCATGTTGTGGTGACCCCAATTTCATTGTTACAAATTGAACATAATTAAAGCATAGTGATTAATCACAAAAACAATATGTAATTATATATGTGTTTTCCGATGGTCTTAGGTGACCCCTGTGAAAGGGTTGTTCGACCCCCAGAGGGGTCACGACCCACAGGTTGAGAACCGCTGCTCTAGTTGGAGACTGGCAGCTTCTGTGGGGCTAGAAGATGGTGCACACAGGCTGAAACCCAGTAGGGTCCAGTTCTGGGGAACTCTGGATTCAGGGAGGGTGGGCTTGAGAGTCTGCTGGCCATCCTTCCCACCCTTTCCTCACTCGGTCCACACTGGGTTGTTCTCTGAACCATAGGGAAGTTCCCTTGTCACTGAGGTGAAAAGATACAATGTGGGTGGGTGCTAGACCTCCACTCATAGGGACCACTTTGAGCTCAGGGCCCTCTCTCCATTTGCTTCTTCTTTGGGTCAGTTCCTCTGGGAGGTGTGCATCAAGAGCTGCAGAAAGTCAACATCCAGCTGGTCAAATGGAGAAAGTGCTCCAATATTATGCCTATGGTCACCAGGAACATGCTGTGTGCTGGGAACGCTCATGGTGGGAAGGATGCCTGCCAGGTAATGGAGCTGGTCCTTTGATGGGAAAAGGGCTGCACAGAGGGCTGGCCAACCTTTCCAGGATAACTGGCTGCCCTCCTCCTCCCTGAATAAGTTTCCTAAGGCTGCTGTAACAAACCACCACAAAGAGGGTGGATGAAAACAACAGAAATGTATTCTCTCCAGCTCTAGAGGCCAGAAGTCCATAGTCAAAGCACCCATAGGTCCACACTCCCTTTGGAGGCTCCAGGGGAGGATCCTTCCTGGCCCTTCGTGGCTTCTGGTGGTTAAAATCCTTGACATTCCATAGGTTATAGGGGCTTCACTCCAACCTCTGCCTCCATCTCTTTCCATGGTCTTCTCCCCTGTGTGCATGTCTCTTCTGTTTTCTCTTAAAAGGACAGTGTTGGATTAGGGCCCACCCTAATTGAATATGACTTCATCCTAATTAAACTAATTATATTTGCAAAGACCCCTTTTTAAATAGGGCCACAGCCTGCGGTTCTGGGTGAACATGAATTTGGGAGAGATGATCTTCAACCTAGTACAGATGCTCTGTAACCAAACAGAGGCTGTGCAGGGTGGTGGTTGGGGGTGCGGGTTCCCCTAGCTTCTCTACTTACTGCCTATGACTTCCCTCTGTGCCTTTTCACATTTCATCACCTGTAAAATGGGAATACTAAGAGTCCCACCTTTTAGAACTGTTGTGGAAATTGATTCAATGCACAGCACGGTAGAGGTGGAACACGAACCTTGAGTAGGGCTTCAGGGATGACCCAGGCAGAGGTTTTCAGAATCAGAGGGGTAACGTGGAGAAATTTAGAGGGACATATTGATGGGCAAAGGGGTGGCAACATGGACTGGGCTCATTTTGCTGTGAATATCGTGTTTTCCATCACCATCTCTTAGACATGTTTGGATCCTATGTCTGTAAAATAGTAATGCATAACGATGTAGAAAGTTGACTAAGGCGTTTCCTCTGCATGGTTGGAATTACAAATGTTATTTATTGCACTTATTTATTTGAGTACCTGGTAAAGGAAATTCAAGTGGTGAAGATGGCGCACAGTGTACCTTTTACACTCCCCAGAGAAACCACTGCTACAGAGTCCCATAGTCTACCCAAAACATTCTTCTTATACACTATCATGTGTTTATGTATAAATTTAATTATTGATATAATTATGGGATTTTTCATGTTATTTTTCCATATTTGAGTTTTTTGACTTTTTTTTTTTAAGACACCTTATTCTTCAATAGAATTTAAAAAATGGTCCAAAAGGTTTGGGGGCATAAAAAGGCAGAGTAGGCCTCAATTTCCATGTCAATGATGTCTGTTTTGTTTGTAAATATTGGCAATCTTTTTCATGATGTTCTTTCATTTATTATTGACTCTATTATAGATGTTCCCCATTCCACCCCCCCCACCACCACCACCAATTTAACCACCTCCACCCAGCTCCCATCAACCGTCCCTCTGGCCATTACCACACTGTTGTCTGTGCCCATAGCTATGCATATATGTTCTTTGGCTAATCTCTTCACCTTCATTCAGTCAGTCTCCCCCATCCTATTTCCTCTGATGTCTGTCAGTCTGTTCCATGTATCCTTACTTCATATTCTATTTTGTTCATCAGTTTATTTTGTTCATTAGATTCTACATATAAGTGAGTTCATATGGTATTTATCATTCTCTGTCTGGCTGATTTCGCTTAGCATAATAATCTCCAGGTCCACCCATGCTATCACAAAAGGTAACAGTTCCTTCTTTTTAACAGCCATATAGTGTTCCATTGTGTAGATGTACCACAGCTTTTTTATCCACTCATCCTCTGATGCGCACTTGGACAGTTTCCAGTGCTGTAAATAACGCTGCTATGAACATAGCGGTGTATTTATGCTTTCTGAATGGTGTTTTGGGATTCTTCAGATATATTCCTAGAAGTGAGATCCCTGGGTCAAATGGCAGTCATTTTATTTTTTTGAGAAAATGCACACTTTTTTTCACAGTGATTGCACCCATCTCATTGCTGCCAGCAGTGTAGTAGGGTTCCATTTTTCCATATCCTCGCCAGCACTTGTTTGTTAACTTATTGATGATGGTCATTCGGACAGATGTGAAATGATATTTTTAAAAGTGTAAATTGTTTAAAATTTCATGTTTTAAACTAAAATGTGATCTTTTAACTAAGGAGTTCCCTCTGCATGGTTGGAATTAGGAATTACATATACTATGTCAGTTGGTATGCCTGCTGTATTCAACCAATGACCTATTATGGGGCATAATGGACTTTTGTGCTTGTGTTTTCACCTTTTGCTGTGGTGAACAATCCAAGAAGAGCAATATGGGCTGGCTGAAAGTGGCTTTGAAGTAAAAAGGCAGAGGGACAATTGAAAGAATTCTGAAATTTTAAAAAGTGCTTAGAGGCAACATGGACTAGCAAATCACTTCTTTGTATGTTAAAATGAATGCACACAACTACATGAAGGTGATGATGGATGTTCCTTTTATGACCAAGTTGTCACTTATCATCACTGCTTTTGACCAAACTGCTTGTCACTCTTTCTGACAGTCACAGATCTGGGAACATAGCCATGTAGTTGGAGAGTCTAATCAAAATTTAAAATGTCTGCTCATCAAAAGTCACTGTGTTTCTTGCCTTGTACCAGGTGCCTATACAATAGGCTATAGGAGTAACTTGTTACTATTCTTTCTATTCCCAAACAACTTTTCTCTTCTAGGGTGACAGTGGGGGACCTCTGGTTTGCCAGAAAAAGGACAAAAACATATGGTACCAGCTGGGCATTGTCAGCTGGGGAGTGGGCTGTGGCCGGAAGAATGTGCCTGGAGTGTACACGAAGGTGGCTAATTACCTTGTATGGATTAATGTGGAGACCAACCTGTCAGGAAGGCCCTACATGCATGAGTCAGACTCTGGGTACAGTTTGCTTCTATCACCATCGCCCATCTTGTTACTCTATTTTGTGATGCTTCTATTAACACTGTGACTAAACACTGTATTACCTCAAAGCCCAGTGCCCTTCTCAGTTTGTGGAGTAAGGTCAAGGGTGCGGTGAAGGCTGTGAGGAGGGATTCGCATATGATTAGTTGTGCCTGAAGTAATCATGTACATATAGGGGTGCTTACAAAACCTGGGACCCACAACCACGCCTATTGTTCCCCTGGATCTTGGGGTAAGTTACCACCAATTTCAGCCTGAGTCCTCTCCACAGGCTTGGGTGGAGCATCCCTCCATGGGATCTCTGAAACAGAAAGCCTGTTCTTCCCTCTCTTACAGACAGGTATCCTTCCACAACTTATTTCATCTTCCAAAGGTGTTGGCAGCTCTCAATTTTCTTTTGCTCCTGAAATAAGAAACAATCCAGCTTCTCTCCCTTTGTTTGCAGTTCATCCCTGAGACCTACAGACTTGGTTTCCAGAAAGATCCTGTTCTTTATCCTCCTCTGCTTCCATATCTACTACCTGGTCCAGAGCCCCCATAAATGTTGATTTTGTCTCTTATAGATCATGCACAATGATGCTAAGATTCAGGGTCAGGAAACCATTGAATAGAAAAGTCCTAGAGATGAGGTGGGAAAGCAAAACACTGTGAATGAGGGTAGCATGTAGCTGCTGCCTCTTCCTCCACAGGAAAGAACGACTCTTCCATCCCCACCTCCCCAGAAGATGCTATATATCTGTCTCCAGCCAAGTTCAAAACATCAGAGTGTTCTTCTGAAAGGGTCCCTCTTTCCCACCTCATAGCTAAATTAGCATAAGATAATTTGGGCTGCCATACCTTTTCCATCTGAATTTGGTTTCTGTCTTCTCCAGTGGGACCAAAACAATCTTCTAAGAGAGATTCCAAAATGCAGGCTAAGGCCCCTTGACCCATTTTTTAAAAATCTCAATTGCTATGGTTGGGTAGTCACAAAGAGAATGTAAAGATAGGCCCTCCTGCACAGTGTCAAGGGCATGGTTCTGATTAATGACAGAGATGGAAGGAGGCAAACTCTGTCCTCTGCACTTGCAGTCCAGGCTGTGTGCTCAATCAGGCCGTGGGCACAGCTGCAGCCAAGGCTAGTGCCAGTGCAAGGACTGCCGACCTTGGGTGAATTATCACCCTTGTCCGACCCCAACATATACATTGAGAAGGACAACTAGTCTTATAAAAATGAACAATGTAATTACTGGTGTAATAGAAGCAATGAAAAATTCCAGAGTGATAGAATATATAAAGAACTCTTCAACTCAATAATAAGAAGGAAAACAACCCAACTTTCAAGAAAAAAAACTGACAAATTACTTAAGTAGACATTTCATTAGTTAAGATAAGTGAATGGCTAATATGCATATGAAAATATACTCAACATGATTCGTTATTAGAGAAATGCAAATTAAATTTACAATGAGATACCACTATACACCAACCAGAAGAGCTATAATTAAAAAAAAACACCAGTAACAAATATTGGCAAGGATGTGTAGATACTGGAACCTTCCACTTTGCTGGTGGTAATATAAGATAACAGTTTGGCATTTCTTAAAATGTTAAAAATGTATCACTCAACACTCCTAGGAATTCTACTCCTAGGAACCTACCCAACATGTATGTGTATGCTCTTAGCACCATTATTCAGTAGAGCCCCGATCTAGAAATAACCCAGATTTTCATTAACTGGTGGTAAATGGATAAACAAATGTGGTATATTCATCCATACACTGGAATACTATGTAGCAATACAATGGAATGAACCTCTGATATGTTGTACAACACAGATGAATGTCAAAGCCATGATGCCAAGTGAAAGAAGCCAGACACATAACACTGCCTATTGTTTAAGTCAATTTACATGAAATATTTAGAAAAGGCAAATTAACAGAGACAGAAATCAGATCAGAAGAGGCTGAGGTGGGAGTGGTGATTAACTGCAAAGGAGCATAAAGAAACTTTCTGGGACGATGGAAACGTTCCAAACTGGATTGCAGTGATGGCAGCACACCTATAAACGTCTAAACAACCACCACCACACACACACACACAAAATAAAAGACATTGCACACCTAGAGTGAGCAGACATTATGGTATGTAAATTGTAACAAAGTTGTTAAAAATTTTAAAGCCAAAATTCTTATGAAGAGATAACAATTCAGACATTGCTATACACATTTAATGATTAACTTTGGTGTTAATTACATTAACTTTGTGCTGTCCTATAAACTTTGAGAGCTGTTTGTTGTCATTCCTAGGGACTTTCCAGGGAGCCCAAATATTGGAAGTTTTTAAGCAATGAGTGAGATTATGGACCCACCAGTATCATGAGACACAGAGTCACAGAGCCTCCTAGTGCCCTGCCCTGCCGGCTGGGGCGGGGGCGGGAGGGGCGGGGGGGGGGGGGCCGTGTTAAAATGTTTCTTCCTGGTGGATTCCAGGCGCCTCTAGAATTAGATAATTTCAGAGCACAGATTTTTCCCAAATGACCATCCAGCCAGAATAAGGGGTAGATTAGAGCAGATGGCATGAGCCCAGGAGGTCTCATATCGACTTTTGAATCCAGTTGGCTTCCGCCAGCAGTGCTGTCTCAGAAACATTATTCCCTGAAGTTCTCACTGTTGGCTGCTGACTGCTAATTGAAGAAATACTTTCAGAAATGAGGGAAGCGAACGCAAGTCTGCAGAAGCCAGTGTGGTTTGAACATGGAAAATTACCTGCTCTTGCCTTGCTCTCAGGAAACTTGGTGCAGTTGGGAAAAGCATGTTCTGGTTCCGGCCATGTCTCTTGCAGGGCATGCGACCTTGGGCCAGGTATTTAACTTCTCTAAGCCTCAGCTTTCTAGCTTTTAATAGGAAGATAGGCAATAACGATGCCTTCCTCATATGTATCAGCAGCAAATTCATATAGAGAGACCACATGTCTGCTCTGTATAAAGGAAAGTGAAGTCAGACCGTCTGAGCTTTACCCTGAATCGTGGTACAATCTTGGGTCTCTCTCTTTGCTTTGTTTTTCCTGGGACAACACATTTGTCTGGAGACTGTCCTGATACTGGTAGAAGCTTAGAATCTTTGAATTCTATTTACCATTGTTGCTGCTCACGTTAGCTCTATATGTCTAACATTATAGTTGTTGCTTTGTACTATATATTCATTTATATTTACCCACATATTTATTCTTTTGGGTTTTATTTCTACCCAGGGTCATTATTTCTTCTGCCAGAAGTTCTACTTCTCATTATTCTTCCCATGCAGACCTGTGGGCAACAAATTCCCTCAGTTTTTTTTTTTTTGGCTTCAAAACATTTTCATTTTACCATCATTTTTGAAGGCTATTTTGCTGGGCTAGGTTCTAGACCAGGGGTGGGCAAACTTTTTGACTCGAGGGCCACAATGGGTTCTTAAACTGGACCGGAGTGCCGGAACAAAAGCATGGATGGAGTGTTTGTGTGAACTAATATAAATTCAAAGTAAATATCATTACATAAAAGGGTACGGTCTTTTTTTTTTTTAGTTTTATTCATTTCAAACAGGCCAGATCTGGCCTGCGGGCCATAGTTTGCCCACGGCTGTTCTAGACTGTCTCTTATTTTTCTTTCGTCACTTTAAAGATGTCATTCCATTAATTTCTGGCTTCCATCATTTCTGTTGAGAAGTCATATGCCATTTTGATTGCTGCTCCTCTGAAGGTAATGTGGCTTTTTTCCTCTCCCGTCTTGGGTTTTCATTAGTTTTACTATCATGTGCCTATTTGTACTACTTC